GGACGAGATGGACGACGAATCAACGAAAGCCATTGTACGCGTCGTACAGAAGTACGAGCAGGCCAAGGTTGTCGACATCTCGCCCGAAGACGCCCAATCGGAAATGCAAAAGAAATACGACGAGAAGTTCGACGCTTGGAAGAACGACTACTACAAGAGCAAATTCGATTGGGACCGCAGCAACGAGGAGGAGCTACGTAAACTAACGGAGAACTACGTGCAAGGATTGCAATGGGTTCTCTTCTACTACTACCGCGGAGTAGCGTCATGGCCATGGTACTATGGCTACCACTACTCGCCTATGATTTCTGACGTCAAGCGGGGTCTAAAGGCGGACATCAACTTTAAGCTTGGACAGCCGTTCAAGCCCTTCCAGCAGTTGATGGGTGTACTGCCCGACCGCAGTAAGAGTATCGTACCGAAAGCATACCACCCTCTCATGACGAACGAGGATTCCCCCATCATCGACTTCTATCCCCGAGACTTTACTCTCGATATGAACGGAAAGAAGCAGGACTGGGAGGCTGTTGTCAAGATTCCGTTCATCCAAGAAGACCGTCTGCTCAAAGCCATGGCCACCAAGGAGAACGACTTGACGCCAGATGAAAAGATGCGTAATTCGTTCGGAGTTTCTCTCAAGTTCACCTACGCCAAAGATTTGGATTTCGTCTATCAGTCATCTCTGCCAGGCGTTTTCCCGGACCTTCCCCACTGCAAGTGCATCGAGAATATATTCGACCTGCCGACCATGGAAGGACTGGAGTACTACATCGGCCTCATGGACGGTGTCAAGCTGGGAGCCGAGGCATTGGCTGGCTTTCCCAGTTTGAAGACCTTGCCGTTCCATGGCAAGCTTGAGTTTGCAGGCGTCAATGTTTTCATGCAAGATAGCCGGAACGAAAGCATGGTTATCACACTCCTTGATACAGAGCCACGACAGTCTGTCTCCCACGCGCAGGCCAAGCTGGGTAAGGCGGTTCATGTTGGTTACCCTTTCTTACACGAAGCGAAAGTGGTTAAAGTATCGGACGAGTTGTTCGACTACGTTTTGCCCGAGGACGGCCCATCTCCTGCACCTGTTGCTATTCCTCATGGACCACAGGAGATCTCCAACTGGAAGAAGACCGCCAACCGCATCGAGAACCAGTACAGCAAGCGCCTCGGTATCAACGTCGGAGAGATTGAGTCCCTCGTGCACGTAGAAATGCTCAAAGGACTTAGAAAGACCGACGAAGGAGCCACCATCAAAGAATATGGTGAGGTCGCTGGGCTGCAAGTGGAGTACGCGACCCAAACAGTCGTAGACGACGTCTTCAGCGCAGACCCTCGGTTCCTGGAGAAAGAGGCACTTCCTATCGAGGATGAATTCCCCGAAGGAGCACGCGCATTCTATCTCGGAGACTACGCCTATGGCCGTCCTCTGCAAGTCGTCAGCCATGCCGACAACAAGGCTACAATTATGGTCGCCAAGCTCAAGAAGCAAGAGCCGCATTTCGGGCGCGAAGTTGTCAGCAAGGCTGAGAGGTCAACGCCCTATGTTCCGTCTTACGTTGTGGCAAGGCAATTGAACATGCCGCCGCTTGCATTGTCCAAGCTCACGTCCTCTTTCAACGTCAACTCAAGTGGTCTCAAGCTCAACCTTGGGTTGAACCTCAAATTCGAGGCGAAGAAGCTCAAGGTGTTGGGCTATTCTCGTAAATCAGCCAACGGATGGGAGTACAGCCAGAAAGCGATGGACCTTTTGGCGCAATACATGATCAAGTTCCCAGAGTTTGTTGCCGCCATTATCAACAACCCGACAGGTGATGGATGGGAGGACACTGACTTTTACCCCCCCGAGGTCGCAAAGCAGAAGGTCAAGGAGATTGGAGCCTGGTTAAAGAGTGTCCAGACCAAGAACTTTGAGAAAGTACCTTTGGACGCCGAGCAGCTCGACTCTGATACAGTCAAGCTCATCGAGCAAGCGGCTGATGCCAACTTCCCACTTACACAAGAAGTGGAGCCCAAGACCGTCGCCAAGGTGCCACGTGTTGCCTTGCTGAAGCCGTCGGACGCGGAGCAGCGTCTTGGACACCAGAACTTCAGCATTGGCGATCGCATCGTCTATGTTCAAGACTCTGGAAGGGTACCGATTGGATCATCAGGTACCGTGGTTGGCAAGACCCGTACCGCACGTGTTTTGTTGCTGGATGTTGTGTTTGATGCCACCTTTATGAGCGGTACATCGCTCGGAGACCGCTGTTCGCCATTCAGAGGATCCACTGTTCCAGCAACTGCAGTTCTCAACATGACGGATCAGCAGGTCGTCCACTATTCCAGTGCTGCTGCCGCGAAGCGCCCACAACAAGTACCTTCATCGTACAACATGCCTCGCTTTGGTGCCCCTGGGGGTCCTCAGCTCGTTCCAGCAGGTACGCCAGCACCTCTTCGTGGGTCATACCGAGGAGCATTCGGAGGCGCGAACGGACGGGGTGGAGGCTTCGCACCACGCCAAAGCCCAGGACCACAGCAACCCCAAGGACAGCAGCAGACCCTCCCGATCCATGGCGGACCACCTCGTGGTGGCCGTGGCGGGTTTGCGCCCCGTGGTGGACAAGCAAATGGCCAGCCCGCGCAGAACCAGAACCAAGCTCCAAATGGCGGCAACGCTCGCGGTAACCTCCGAGGTGGCTCAGCAGACTTCGTTCCCCGTGGACGAGGAGGCCACAAGGGCCGTGGTGGCTTCACTGTCATCGACAACACTGACCCCGCGGAGGGAGTTGTTCCTAACAACCCGAACTTTCAGCCGCGTAACTACTCGAACGTACCACCGCCGGCCAATCTAGATGGCGGACGTGGTGGTAGAGGACGAGGTCGTGGTCGTGGCGGATTCCGTGGGCGTGGAGGCCCAAGGGGCGGCGCGCAACCTGCTGCACAGTAGAGTCTTCTCGATCATTTAAACGTCTGTTCGGTATTGTTTGAGCGTTCCAGAAAGTAAGTTAGCGTGGCGTTGCGGCGTTCAGCGTGAACACATCTGGGAGGAATGCATAGACGATGCGCGTACATGTCATAGATAGAGCTCGAGGTGACTGGGAGAATAACGGTGGATGGTGGGAGTGGTGCAGCTTGATACCCACATTGAGTCGTCGGTAGCAGCATCAATAAAATTCAGCTCACTCGAACATGTGTACTTGTGTCAATGTCCGCTCGTCTGACATGAGATGGTGAGACAGTGCACTAGCGTGAAATAGGTGAACCCTGGTCTCATAGGGCTGAGCTCCGACCTCCGCGCAAGAGTCCAGATACGTGTTAGGACCACCCAAGGCTACATCTCCACGCCCACCATCCAACAGTTCCCTCTCCCTCTCGTGGCCGACAGAGGCTAATAGACTGGGCTCTGCGCTCACTCCACACATTTCACAATGCATTCGACGCTTGTGCGTCTCCAGAATGTCTTTGGCTTCTTTACCACAGTCGCTTTCACAGTCGCGAGCATCATCGCGCTGAGTAGCTTTGTCTCCCCGCAGAACCCGACGGCCAATATATCGCTGCGCAATGTGCAGGTAGTGAGAGGGCGCCCGCACTACTACTCACCCAAACGGGAGGAGTATGCGCATGTCAAGTTCGATCTAGATGCTGGTACGTCTCTCACCCAAGCCGCAACTACGCTGCGGCCAAGCATTCAAACACCGTGACTGACGCCTCTATGCAGATCTCAGCTCCCTCTTCAACTGGAACACGAAGCAAGTCTTCGTCTACCTCAAGGCCGTCTACCCCTCCACCCGCGCCTCGGAACCCCCCTCCGAAGCCATCATCTGGGATGCCATCGTCGCCTCAAAGTCCGCGCCCTGGAACCAGAACCACTTCATCCACCCCGACCCCAAGTCCAAGCTGCCCAAGCAATCCGCCAAGAAACGCGCTGCATCCAAGCAAAAGACCGCGTCGCCGTACCCCGTCGGTGAACTCCACCTCGATAACCAGAAGCCCAAGTACAAGATTACCGATATTACCGGCAAGCTGGGCAATAGGACGGACGTCACACTGGAGCTGGGCTGGAATGTGCAGCCGTGGGTTGGCGCGCTAACATGGACGAACTGGAACACGGTTGGTGTTTGGAAGGGTCTCGAGGGAGGCAGGAGCAAGGCGTTTAGCTTCCCGGAGGTGGGCGCCAAGGCGGCGACACCAAAGGACTTGGAGACTGAGAAGGGTGCTGAGGGATACAGATTGGTTGTTGGCGAGGAGGTGCCGCTGAAGAAGGCTGCTGTTTAGGGAGATGGCGATTAAGATACCTTCGAAAATACGGATTGGAAAAGGGGATTATATTTGATACCAGATATGGAATGATTTCTTGGGCTCGATCATCAAATGTCCAAGTTTTGACTGGCTTCATGAGGTCGGTTTTGGACCGGTATTCACGGTAACATCTCAGCCATAAGTTCGGTAGATCATGTGCTCGAGGCAGTAGCATATCCCCCTCAAGTACATGATTTCCCGAACTTATGGCTGAGATGTTATCGTGGGCTTGGTCACCATGAAAGACGCTTAAGGAAGGTATACAGATCCTGGTACAGTCATACATGTCCATGTATCGCCATGTATTAAGCGCAAGACTTTAGAGTCAGTTTAAGTTTGTGAGATGACCATTTGCCGTTTATCAAGATAACTATATCATAACATTTTTGAGAGTTCATGGGAGATAATGCGCTGGTAGTAAGGTAGGCCTGCTCGGGTTAAGGTCGGACCTCCGATCTCGCCGCAAACCGCCACTTTCAGGTCGTTGGATTTCAAAGCGCGCTCCACAACCCTCAATCACTCACATCATGCGCCATCCGCGACACCACCCACACAACCCTTCCTCTCGCCCATCCGACGACGCTCCAGATTAGTACGATAATCTACAGGGTTTCAGCTTGCATACACCCCCATACAACGAACCACTTCCCATCAACACCCGTCAACGTAAACCCCACCGACCCCCGCCGTTCATACATACCCAGGCCGTCCGAGCCTCCGTGTACGCGATGCCTCTCGAAAACATTCGCAACATCGTCCTCGTCCTCTCCGGCAAAGGCGGTGTCGGCAAATCGAGCGTAACTACGCAACTCGCCCTCACGCTATCGCTACAAGGACATTCGGTCGGCGTATTGGATATAGACTTGACGGGCCCGAGTATACCGCGCTTCTTCGGTATTGAAGATGCGAAAGTAAGACAGGCGCCTGGTGGTTGGATACCGGTTGATGTTCATGGCGAGCAGACGTTGGCTGCGCATCAGAAGGAAGGGGCGGAGGCGGCTGGAGGTGAGCAGAAGATTGGCTCGTTATCTTGCATGTCTCTGGGCTTCATCCTGGCTTCGCGCTCCGATGCTGTAATCTGGCGTGGCCCAAAGAAGACCGCTATGGTGCGCCAATTCCTCACCGACGTGCTCTGGCCACCGCTCGATTACCTCCTCATCGACACACCACCCGGTACCTCCGACGAACATATCTCCCTACTCGAAACCCTATTGAAGAACACCACGCCGTCTCCTGCTCTCAACCCGCACGTCCCGTTCTTGGCCGGCGCCGTCGTAGTCACAACACCGCAGGCCATCAGCGTCAGTGACGTGAAGAAGGAGCTAAACTTCTGCAAGAAGACCGGAATAAGGGTACTAGGCGTGGTAGAGAACATGGCGGGATTTGTGTGCCCGAACTGTTCGGAATGCACAAATGTCTTCAGCAAGGGCGGCGGAGCAGTCATGGCGACTGAGTTTGAAGTACCATTCCTCGGCTCTGTACCAATTGATCCAGCGTTTGTGGAATTGGTCGAGAGTGGGACGAGGCCCGTATACCCCAAGGGTACTGTCATTCAGGGCAAAGAGTTGGACACCGAGGAGGTCGCGGCGCTGAAGAACAAGGGTGGGTTGTTTGTCGATAAGTATCGGGACTGCTCGTTGGCGCCGTTATTCGACGAGTTCGTGACGAGATTGAAGGGGGATATCGGAAGGATTGTGTGAGCATGCAAACAATGGTTCATCCTCAATCGCAGGCATGGCGAAGCGACGGAAGAGATAAGATCGAGGAGATAGAAGAATAGATACCCCTCCCTATTTCGATGATCTAGCAGTGCTGGTGAGTCTTCGCTCCCCCTGGGCAAAGTTCAAGGAGCGCTGACCTTCGCATAGTCTTCAACATCCACTTTCCGTGCTTCGCCATTACGTGGTTCTCTTCACTCCTACACGTCGTTATGACAACGCCCTGCTATGTCGTCATCTCAGCTCAGGTGACTCCAGTCCTTCTGCTCGGATACCCGTGAATACGCCTTGTCACAGCGAATCAAGAGCGCAGTATCCTGCCCACAAGTAAATATTACTCACCGAGGTCGGCAGTCTGCTCTTGTGACTCGTTAGGCTCCAGTTGCGGTCATCAGTATCCGTCCCGTACTCCACATCCCATGCCTCATTGGTACCGTGGGCTCTTTTCGACAGAGCAAACGCGCAGCTGCGAGCTCAAAGGTGAGAGAGCGCTTAATTATGCTTTCAGGTAAAGTTGAACGTGATTAATTATCTGCCAACTGTTTTGCGGGCTTCATATAAAGCCGCTACTGCTCATAAGAAAGGACTCAGTCTTTCGTCCTACCTACTATACCCACCAACATCCTAACCTATCACAAACACCGAAGAACGACTGGTAAGTAACTATCGCGACCTTGAGATTGCTCGACAAATACAGCTTCCAGCGCAAGACGCCAATCAGTCTTCCGCAATACTGATCTCGCAGGCCGCAAGATTGCCGACACTATGGACGCCGCGAGCAATCACGCTACATCGCCAGACCCTCATCCTACCGCGGGCAGCCCGCATCGGAAGATTCCGACACCAGTTCAAGAGCAGGACCAGAGGAAGAGTCCTGAGACCAAATCGCGTCAAGGACCCGGCAATGGCGCAGACCAACTCCCGAAAGGTGACTCCGCTCCTATTGCAGTCAACGGCAACGAGAGTCTAACTTCTGAAGAAGAGCCGAATTCAAGCGCAAAAGCGAAATTCATGGTCAAGCTGAAGTACAGTACCAAGATTCCTGTGACTTCTCCGCAAGGTCACCGAAACATCAGCAATGCCTCATCTACTTCCCCAGACTTGCGCGCAACTTCGGATGGATCAGTTAAGCCGTTCATCGAAAACACCGTCGTCAAGCAGGAACTCGAAGACCATGAAGCTACTGCACCCCCAAGCCCAAAATCGAGCTCGCCACAAGCCAAGATCGAGAAACAGAGCGATAATCAAGACTCAGCCCCGAAGCCCCTGAATGAGCCCATGGGAAGTCCGGGTCAGGTCATCATGGTCAAGGACGAGCCTGAGCAAGATGCACATGGAAATGTCGACGATCGAAGTCAGGACCTGGTTAGGGATGCTATGAGCATTGATGGTCAACTTGGCGACGAGTCAATACAGGTCTCGATCGAACATGACACTTCAGGTAAGTCCTCGGATGCTCTCGGTGTCCAGGCTGCTAGATCTGAACCCGAGAACTTGAAGGGGACTGCGGCCGTGGAAGTGCAAGGTGTCGATGACGTCAACGGCGGCTATCAGCAGAGTGCAAACGGACCATCGATCGCACGTGACAACGACTTGTCGTTTGTCGCCGACACCAACATGTCTTACCCCTTCGATGTAGACGAGTGGGCCTCCAACGCCGCGAACCAAGCCGAGGCGGACGCAGCCAGCGGAGCCCGACAACACCAGCATTATCAACCGATCGACCACCAGGCCATGTCGTCCAACTTCACATATCAAAAGATGAATATGCGGCCAGAAGATCCAATCGATCAAGAATCTCTGGCCTTCCTTAGTGGCGAAGCTGAAGCCGGGGTACCGTGGAGTCAACGTAACCACGGATTTACGGACCCGGTCCACTTCACCAAGTCTAGCTCACCCTCAATCGGAAGCGCACGTGCACTGAACCCAGCTGCCATCCTCCAAGGCCTTTCGCTGTACGGAACACATTCATCCCGCCATGGGTCGCAACAGCCCGCTGGCCAAAACCGCCAACTCGATCTCGACTCTGCCTTCAATCGTCAACAAGAGCTTCAGGCCCGGGTTGAGGAGAAGCGGAGAAATTTAGACCAAGCCAAGATGCAAGCGGAGCGTCATCGATCGACTCGACAGGTATCTTACGATTCTGCCAGTTATCATGGCCAGTCACCTGCTCTACCTGCGTTCCTCACTGGCCCAATGAGCTATCAACGTGCCTCTCCGAGCGGCTATCAGCAGATGAACTACGGACAGAACAGCTCGAACAACTGGACACCAGAACGGCGTATTCCCCAGGTCACCCAAAAGGCACGAAAGCAAGTCTTCGGTGAACACGACTGTGGCGATGAAGTCAACGCTTCCGATGACGATGAGCCGCTTCGGACGCGGATAGAGCGTCACCCATCAGTGACTAGCCAGGATCATGACTCCGACGTCGAGTTCGTCGCGAGCAATTCCAAGCCCAAAAACACTGGACCTACTGTCGACCGGAAGGTAGTGCGCATGCCACGCCCTCTTCCTCAGCCTGCTTCACCCTCTCCCACACCCACCGAGAACGCGCCACCTACCTCCGACGACATCGAACAAATTGATTGGACGCTTCCCCGATATGAAATGCAACGCCAACCTCTCGAGAAAGGCGAAGAGATCCCTAGCGCCAAGGTCTCACTCCCAGGCATGGTGCGTGAAGAAATCCTCCTCTCTCCCGACCACGCAGACGAGGAAGTGCGCCTATTGATCGAAGTCTTCATTCCCGGCAAACAAGCCCTCGATTCCCCAGACCCGGAGCCCGCCCAAGCGCTTTTGAACTTCCATACCATCGCCATCATGGTCATAGAAGCGTACGTCCAGTTCGAGATCGGCGACGTGCTGGGTATGGGACGTGGTCACTTCCATCAAGATCACAACCGCGGCGAAGAGGAATACGAGCGCATGCGCGACGCTGTCGATGCCGATACAACCGAGATCTTCTTCGCTGTCGTGGACCGATACCGAGCAGGATTGGAGAGCAAGAAGAAGCCGCTACAACTCATCCGCGGCACGCAGGAGTTCTGCGACGTGGCGCTCGATATCATATACTACATCAAGGAGCATGGACTGCTGAAGCCGGAACCTAAGGTCAAGAAGGTAAGGGCCGATAAGGGAACTAAGAGGGGGGCTCAGGCGAAGACTGCGGCGGCTGAAGCTGCAGCGAAGGGCAAGGGTAAGGGGACTAAGAGGGGTACGGCGGCCAAGCCGAATGAGGTGCAGCCTAGGAAGAGGGTGAAGACTGCGCCCAAGGTCGAGGTCAAGAAGAAGAAGAGAAGTGGTCCGGAGCCAGCTCTTACCGTTGTGAGGAAGTGAGCGATTAGGCTGAGAGGATGGTGTCAGTGGCCATCGATACTTTTAGCGATTGGGGTGAAGAGAAAACGGCGGTTGGATATGGGAATATGGAGTTTCATCTGCGGGGTTTCACGATCTGTGCAAGACGATGCAGTCGTTCATGGTTTTGGCTTCTCATTTTTCCGTGACTCGAGCCCTATAGACCTTTCCTTCAACATACGTATCCCAGCTTTCCACGTCTACTCTAGTGACAGCAACCAGATGAAAAACGGCAAGCCAGAGGAGATGTAAGATCTTTCCCATATTCTAGACGAGACATAGACCGACTGCATCGTTCGCTCATCATGCCCTGCTCCCATCGATGCGCCGAACAGCTCGCTTTGCTCTACCATGCAACTTTTCCAGAAACTCCTCTCGAGACCAAGGTGTCCTTTGGAAAGTCAGGGCTACAGCCTCCGATACGCCGTGCTCGTCACCTTGATGTGTGACGTCTTCCCACTCAGTCAATATCTTATATTCACCACCGTGGAGGTCGAAAAACGAACGGGATTCCAAGCCTCTGCAGAAGTCACTCATAGCCGTCATCGTGTCCTGGGATTGGCGTTGTCCCCAGTGAATAGTTGTCCGGCGCGCCTGGGGTATGTGATGTTTGATCCAAAAGTGTAGGTGACGTAAAGCATCCTTGTTAAAGGGAAATGTCGTGTTTGCGATCGCGGTGGAGATGTCGAAGGTGATTTGCTGGAGCGGCAGACGGAGCAGCGGAATCCTGAGGAACAATGTATCCGGATCATGGAACTCGGGGAAAACCTCTGGGATGATAACAGTAATGTTGGTAGGGTCGATGGCGGGTTGTATGATGAAATAGAAGCTCGGTTTGCGAAACCATCGTGCATCATGGGCGCGAAAGTACCCATCGGTAGCCTTTTGGATCTCCTTTTGCGCTTCTTCTCGAATTTGCTTGCAAATGTGTGTTAAGGCGTTGTATATTGATGGTTTGGGGTAGGTAGCTAGCTGATCCACTGGTAAGAAGTATTGGTACACCATGCAGCGGAGCTCAACGGGGAGGTCGAGGAAGGAGCGTCCATCTCGGTGCATGGCGGGAAGTGACGAATGGGAAGCGGAAAATCTAGTGTAGTCGCTCTGCAACCCTGTATTGTCGCTATTATGACCCTTGGAAGACGTAGAAGCCATCTCGAGGGAGTATCCGATATTTGTATGCGGATCGTAGTCGAAGTGTAGAAGTCGAGTCGAGGTGGTGGCGCGGGATGGGTACAGGCAGGACGCATTGAGTCAATCTGAAAGGTACACAATGGAATACCAGAGCTTTATCGTTAGGCAGATGTAGTAATCTAGCTAACTTGACGTCACAAGATGAATGAAGTCCGCTATAGCTGCTCGAGCGTCAGGGCCTGCTAGGCATTCGCTCCCCGCAATGTTTTCTTCCTTACTTTCCTAAACGTACAAGAAGGCTGGAAATCTGTAGAAAGCCAGAATTTAATGCATACAAATCATTCAACCATCTACTTAGGTTGAAGATTACTCGCCAACATGACAGAGCAAGCCGTGGCAGTTGCTACCCCGGACAGCCTCCCACCCACACCTCAAACCGATAAACTCATGACGCCGGTCCCGTCCGTCACACCTAGTACGGCCAGTCGCTTTCTACAGCTGCCTCCAGAACTTCGCGTTTTGATATACCCATTCCTTTCACCCTACTCCTCAACCGATCGAGAGCACTTCGGCAAAGCTCAACACCTCAACCTCATACAAACATGTCGACAAATCCGCGAGGAAGCACCTCTAGAGATCGAGAAAGCTGCTGAAAACTTCTACCGCAATTACGAGAAGACCTGGGATGAGAGCCACGGAGAGCAGATTCGCATCAAAAAGTATGGCTCTTGGGATAGTATGAGCGTGCACATCGGCGATACCTTCAATGGTCGCGGTATTCCGCTACTTGACCTGCCTCTCAAGCGAGTCGATATCTGCGTTACCCAGACCGAAACCTACAAGCCGAAGAATGATCTCCTCCGAAGATACTATGCACGGTTGAAGAATTTCACGAAGAAGGCTGACGCTCCGATGCTTGGGTTGACACTCAACGGCTCCAGATGCATAGAATTTCGCTTCCTTTGAAGGACAATCAAGTGTTCACTCATAGTAACCTAGTCGTGAAGCGAAAGACGGGTCAAAAGGGTCTTCGGGAGCACGGCACCAGATGGTGCGCATAGGGCATCGTATGTTATTGCGGGTAGACCGTTACAGGCCAGCACAATGAGATCAAGGTAGAATATGTCAATGCTTCACTATGACATTGTGACAACTTCTAATATATCATGGCGCCATCTACTACTTCTTAGCAAAACTGTGGTAGTTATCAACAGGAGCAACTTCCTTGACGCTCTCCCAAATCTGCTCAATGCCCTTGACCGCCTCGTCGCTAAGCTTGCCCTTCTTCAAGCTCTGCGCAGTCTGCTCAGCCTGAGCAATCTTGCTAGCACCGAAGATGACACCATCTTCGTCTCCCTCAAGCGCGCTGTGGTAGGCTACCCAGCGGTATGCGAGCTCCGCCTTGGTGACTCCCTCCTTCTCAGCAATCTCGTTCCATTTAACGAGCGCCTTGCGCATGGTCTCGTTGTCGTAGAGCTTTCCGTACATGTTGCCCATGGCTTGCTCGTTGAAGCGTCCGGCGCCTGCATCGAGGTCTGCTGCTGTCTTTACGAGGAAGCCACCAGCAAGGGGCGAGTATGCGTAGAAGTGCATACCGAGCTTGCGGAGTGTGGGGAAGAGCTGAGTCTCCAAGTGTCGGGCAACGGGGTTGTAGTTACCCTGGTAGACTTGTGGGAGCGGGTAGCCCTTGGCCTTCGCAATGTCGTAGACTTGCTGAACTTGCTCAGCCGAGAAGTTACTGAGACCAAAGCGGCGGAAGATGCCCTTCTTGTACACCTCGTTCATGCCCTCCAAGGTCTCCTCAAAGGGAACGGATGGGTCTGGAGCATGGAGATAGAAGATGTCGAATTGGTCGATCTTGGCACGCTCGATGGACTCCTGGCAGTGCTTGATCACAGTGTCCTTTTTGAGTTCACCGGGCTGACCAAAACCACCAGGGAGCTTGGTATCGATGACGAAGTCCTTGCGCTTCTCGAGCTGACCGATGGCAACTTCGGATCCAGCATAGAGACGTGCGGAATCAATGTTCTTGACGCCGTTGGCAAGCAGAACATCGACGAGTTTGGCACGGTCTTCTTGCGTGTTGAAGTACGCAGAGTCTGAGAGCGCAGCTCCTCCGAAGACCGATTTGACCATGGTGATGGGTGATGGAATCCGAGTTTGATTCGTGGGGATTGGTTGGTGATGTCTAGAGTCAGACAAAAGCTTCAATGCGTAGGAGAATTGATAGCGGGGAAAGCACGAGCGATGATGTTGATGATATAACCGATGATGCAGGGGAGGAAGCCGCGGTTGAGCTGTTGATGGCTCCTTCCCAACGCCCCTCTTTCATGAACTTATATACCCAATGCAGCAGGCAGCAGCTCGCGTCTTTCTCCCAAAACGCCGAGCGAGCCAGCATCCACATTACAAATGTTCTCAGGTACCAGTCGTCCGATGATGCCACCAACACAATGCGTAGGCATACTTGGCAAGACGTGCCCCACTCATTCCCGACCCCTCCTCGGCTGGAATTGCACAATGGCCCCGCTCAACCACTCTTATGCATGTGAGTACGGAAATAACGGCCCCAGCCAGTTACACCGATCACGTGCTCATTGTGCAATTCAACTAGGCATTGAACGAGCGCAATGCGTGTTCATGTATTTGGATACAAGCGATGGGACGATATGAGGTTTTGCCCATACTTCCGACACAGACAGACCTGCGCCCTTAGGTGGGTCGCAGCTAGGCCAGGTAGTGAGACGTATCCTTCTGCACGGGTCGAGTGGTCCGTAACGGCGGACGAATGATAAACACCAAGACGAACCAAGTAGACCCAATACTCAGAGCGACATGTTATCACAGAAGGATCTAGAAAGTGTCTGTTGCCTTGTCGTGCAATCTCAGCAATGCATTGTAATCTTACAAAAAGTGGAACATCCAACACGCATTTCCCCGAAGCGTAGTCTCACTCCTTGCGAAATCGATGTGCAACCTGACTAGCGATCGCATCTGACATATACATCGTATGGACGATTTCGTCCGCCCGGTCATGTTGCATTAGAAGAACGATACCCTCGTTGCCATTTGCGCAGCCTCCGAAACGTTCGTACAAGTTGGATGAGTTGAGTGGAAGCTTGAGGGAAAGAATGAAGGTGTTGTTGCATATGTGCATCGAGATAGATCTGGAGCCGAAGCAATGATGTGCGACCTGTTAGCCTTACAATAACTGCAGTCTTTAGTACCGTACCGCATCGCATGGTCCTTTTTGTTCACGCGCTTCACTTGTGGTAGTAAGCTTGTGAACAAAAAGGACCATGCGATGCGATGCGGTGCTAAACAAGACTAGTACATTCTTCGCAAATGGATCACGATGGCCCAGGGGCCATGTCCGTCCAACCGCCATCCGCTCTCCAAACTCCTGCTTTCGTGTAATCTCCCCTTCCACCGCCTCTTATGTAGGCAAATCGAAAGTATTCATTCACGCCTTCCATGTGTCTAGTCCACGTCCAGCTTTCCTCCATACGGTCAGCGTATTCGTGATACCTTTCTACATCATTGACCAAAACGCTCATTCCATCATAAGGCTCAGGGAATGGGTAGTGCCAATCGAAAGTGATGTTGGGTCTCAGGTGATGAAGATTGAAGTTGTTGTGGATGATGGGCGCAGTGATGAGTGGCAGTACGGTGCCGATAGGTGCGTCACCGCGAAGTGCGCCGGGCGTCTCGAGAATGCTGGCAAAGCCCCAGCGTGCGGTCCCGTTGATGAAGAGGCCGATCAAAATGCCTTGGAAAAGGAGCGAGGGGCGTGTTTGCATAGATGTGCCAGGTACAAGGAGCAGGCCGAGGATATAGTGGTGGATGCGGACGTTCATCCTTGGTATGGCGACGAGTGCGAGGATGCCAGCCACCAGAATGCCATAGAGGGCAAGGTAACGTGGTAGACGCCCTTCGACACGGAATGACCATGCCTGTCCTAGAGCGATGACGAAGAGGGTGAGGACGATAATGATAAGCGCAGGAATAGCGCCTGGCTGGTTCTTGATATCGTGAGGTGTAAGACGCTCTATGGGAATCTTGTCGAACGTATAGTTGTTTAGGGCGCCGATCCAGCATCCTCCGAGCCAGAGGATGGTTTTCTCTACTTGTGCGTGAAGACCTTGCAGTTGGCGACGCACTGCAAACCGGTAGATAGCATACATGCAAAAGCACGCGGGAAGGAAGCGTGACAGAGCAATACTGATTATGGAGTAATAATCAGTCAAGTTGGGAGGGTCTGATGCCAGTGCAACGTGGAAGAAGACACCGACGAAGATGGAGGTAAAGAAGACGGATGGTGAGGTAGTAAATAAAGACAACAGGATGGTAAAGGTTAGCGATACGCCTAGTAATGGCCACCGCAAGTCGCGACATTTGGCTGCCGTACCAGGCAGAAAGGAGAACGAGCGCGGGAAATACGAGTCAAAGCCAATGCTTTTGATGTGTCTCCTGTTCACGCTGGGGTAGTCAGTCTTCTCGCCAACCTGCGCAACCACTCCACAACCACCCGACGCGTCATTTATGAAGCCAGCATGGATAGCAGCTCCGCAAATGAAAGAGTCGGCGCGGTAGTATGTGTTCTCCAACGTGTTTTCCTCGTCGGTGGGTCCGCCAATAACCAATGGACGATAGTTGACGTTCTTGTCACCAACAGCATGTGGATTTAGCAATTGCACGCGTTTACAGTTTGCGGGGCAGCGGAACGGCATGGTGCTGTTCTCGAAGGGTCGGCATAGATCGCCGTTGAGGCCGCAGCCATTGCCATCGTCCCAGAAGCGATCCGTACACCGTATTCGCACGGGGCTGCCATATCCAGGTATGTCCGCTGCAAACGCGCTACGATGGAGGACCAAGCCAAAGGTCAGGATCCAGCAGAAGTAGAAAAAGACCAACAGGGCAATCTTCTGTCTTCTTTCGGGAAAGTAGTTGTTCAGCAACTGGATTGGCGCAGTCTGTATCTTGGGAAAGAAAGGGTGTATCTTCCAGGGTCGGGGCGGTTGTGGACCCTTGACCCATACGACAACATTGTTCCATACACGTTGCAACCGCGGGGGGATGTACTTATTGGCGTAATAGGGCTCTTGTGGGGTGTCGTACTCCTGGCCGGATGTCTCGGGATTCGCGACGGCGTCGGCTGACTCGGCAGGAAGTGTCGTCGCGTTCTCGTCGTCGCGGTAGGCTTGCGGAGGCGCGCCTTCGTCGTCGAGGCTTTCCCGCGGCTCCATGTCGTAGATGGATGCCAGCTCGTGGCGGGATCTCGTAGGAGACGACACTTTGGTAGTGAATAGGATGACGATGCGCCGAGGCTTAATGGATGCTTATCGATAGGGATGCGCGTAGAGATGTGCGACGATGAGCGAAGGTTGGCAAAAACTCAAAAGACGCTCATGTAGAGGACGAGGTGAGGGAGTGGAAGAGGTGAGAATATATGAGCGAAGGCGGAGGCATGGCAAGGAAAGAGCTCTGGGGAGCTTCGGGACCTGCATGATGCGGGCCTGTGGAGTGCCCACGTTCCGGCTTCACGGCACTGAGACGCTAGGATCGGCCTCCGAGAGGAAGCTTCCAAAGCTTTGGGTGTCGGCGACAATGGCAGTATCCGAAGGTTCACGCGCCGATAGAACGGGAATTATCATGCTTGCTCTCATCCCAGGTTGTTCAAGATGGTTATTCCCAGCTGCAGCTCCCACGTGTGGCTCAACGTGGCCTAGCCAGCTCATGCGGCTTCCCGTTTGGTGATGAGGTCACCGTTCTGGCATTTCTAATCAGCGCCTTATCGGTCCCTCGGACCATTCGCCTCGGGCGACGGAGCGACTCCATACCCAGGAATATCCCCATCGTCTTTTACCTCTTTGCATGCGATTGTTTGTATTGGACGATCTTGTAAGAGTTGTTGCATTTGACGCGTCCGCGTAAACCTTATCCGCACACCGCTGCAGAGCCACGAT